GAAGGTAAATGTGTCAACATTTCATTGAAATGTTTAGGCGGAACATGGAATAGTTGTGACGAGGTTAGATTTATTAGCAATGTTTATCCATACAGGGTAATACTGAGTAGGATTGAAGCAGCTCCTTACAGCAGTCTAGTAAAGTGGAAATTTCATATTTCCTCAGTAATGTTTGTTGTTGCACCCTTTGTGCTCATTCAAACTAAACATGACTCATTGATTTGGGTCATAAAAGCACACTTACTTTAAATTAGATCCTCACAGAAGGCTATTAGTGACAGAGAAATAGTCGCACGCGTTGGCATTCGTCCCATCGAGACAGCTCCACCATTCTTCTTGTTCGTGATCACTCTTATTCTTAAACAGAATTTTTATTGCAACATTGTAATTTCCTCAGATCTTTAACGTCTGGAGATTTTCATTTTGAATATATTTAATTCTTGATCCTCAACAGTTGTGTGCGTGAAGAAATTGCCAAGGGATGTGTTTGGGTGCGATGCTGTGAGGATCGGTGTGGACATGTTGGGCCGAAGGGCATGTTTCCACATTCTACGGATTCTATGATTCTTTTTTCGCTCTTTCAATGAAGAGCTTTCCTCCCATCCCAATGCTAAATGGACTCTCCCTTATTCTGAATCTATGTCACCTGTATGTGGAACCACTAGCCAGGTGAAAGATTCTTTCTGCAATATTTGAGATGTCCATTTTAACTCGAGTACACAGATAGTGTGCCCACGTGAGTAATTGCAGAAAATTGTGATTGGAGCTAAGTTTCTTCAAGTTTTTATTGTCCTCCACTTGTAAGCTTTGGGCAAATCGTAATAACATCGGTCAGTGCATCAATACAAACGTCAACATATGTGCACTCAAACAGTTAATTGAGAATGAATGGAAATGCACTTTCACCTAAATACTGCAAAATCATAAATGAGTCACAGCGGCACATGCAGTCAGGAATTAGATATTCTTTTGGGAAGGAATGATCTGTTCCCACCGTATAAGTGGTAAAATTGGCTGTGTGGAACCAAAAGATGTGGATTGAATTAATTGAGTTTGGACAAAGTAGAGTCTCTGGGTTTGGTGGCCCAGTGGTCATTCCCCACGTTCGAGCCAGGAGGCTTTAGGGCTCATGTCCTCCTCAACAGGTTAACTAGAAAGTATCTGGAGAGGAGCCTGTTGATGCAGACACAGCCGTGGAGACATTGAGAAATGCCGGAAGTACAAGATATGTGACATGTTTTCTGTGTCTGTAATGGCATTGTGGTAATATGACTGGAGTAGGAATTCGTAAAACCCAGGATCAAGATGTGAGGAGATGAGTTTGAAATTTAGGATGGGAGGTGATGCAATTTGAATTCGATAATAAATGTGAAGAAGAGCCTGGTGTGGCTCACATAGCGCAGTGGAAGTGTCCCTACTCCAGTGTCACGTCCAACATGATCCAGAGGAATGCCGTAACATTCCCTGAACAGGTTGATCAGAAAACATCTGAAGAAGAGGCGTTCGATCTTATCCTTCCACCAATCCAATCTCAGTTTTCCCAAAACAGCATCATAGAATTATCTGTCCATCATGAACAAGACATTTCAATACCTCATCACTCACCTTCCTTTCTCACCATCTTTCAGGTTTTCTTGTTATTTGAAGAGGACGACAACAGGGCAGCCAAGTGTGGAATCTGATTTACAAAACGTTGTCTCAGGATATTCGCTGAGACATTGCGGGACACAATCCTGTAAGTAACAAAGATAAGATGTTGATTGAGAGAGTATTTTAGCTGACTTTTCTCCTCCCTAGAAGTGAATTGGAAATGGCAGAACAGTAAATAATCAGGCAGGTTGTCAGTAGAGAGACACAGCCACCTCCGCGATTACGTTCTGGGCTGAAATCTCCATGAATGACTGTCGTAATCTGTCACGAATTAAGCTCATTATCTGTTGATTAACAACCAGTTCAGGGCCTCAGCCCTCACTGCCTGAATGACCTTCCTTCTCTGTTGGTGTGAGTAATGACAGCTACTGCAATTGGAAAATGGGGCGGCCTGCCAGACATTTTGCGGGGTTCCTCCATTTGCCCCCATCTGTGTGAAATTGATGGCACAGCTTTAAGTTCGTGGAATGACTGCTTGAATGCAGGCCCTGGTCTTGCCCTTGAAACCATGTGGTCCCTCAGACTGTGACTCCAACTTCTAGACCGTCCCCAAATCCATCACTGACCTGTCTGTTGGTGACGATCTTCATGGTCTGTGTTTAGGCAGCAGCCTGGGTCTTGAATGTGTCACAGTTGGTAGCCTGATGTGGGACATGATGTCTCAGCCACTTGACCTGGTTAGTCTAGAACCTTACAGTGCAGCCCTCTGATGCCCAATTTACAGTTGATGTGGCAGTTTTCCCATTGGTGGGCACATGAGGAGTTTGCTATTGACTGCATTGATGCCCCCTAAATCTTTGCTCTTGATATTAATTGAACGGCAATGCCATTTCCTTGCAATGTTTTTATTATTTTACTGATATATGTTTGCTTTGATTTGTATTTTAAAGCAAATCCCAAGGTTTTTTTTTACATTGGATATTGCACGGTTGCAGTGTATTTCGGGAGGACAGAAAGCAGGAATATGTGCAGGGCTACCTGCATTAGTTAAGCATGTTGCGAGCTCAACAGATATGAAGCACCTGTGTTCACGAGCCCAGGGTGTGCAAAAGGTTTAGGAAGAATTGGGAAACGTAAAAGACTAGAAATTACTTTTGTGAGTGATGTAGAAGCCGCACAATGCTAAAGATATGGTAGTGTGGAGGACAAAAACAGAAATGTTTGGAGCTTGTTAAAAGGGGTTGGAGATGACCACAGGAGACTTGTACCTACATGTTGGCTGGAAAAGTGAGATGGACAGAGGATATCTTCTTGGGTGGACTGGAGTCAGGGAATACTAGACCTGTTATTGTGCAATGAGTTCGGATTCACTAATGATCTCAAATTGAAGGTAGCAGAGATAGACCCTAGTTTGTAAAAATTGTTTGAATATTACAATCGGTTGAAGGGAGAGAGATACAAGAAAACTGAAATTGATAGAAAAATGCATGAGGTGGGGCAGCATGTGTGGAGAGAAATCAGAGTTCATGTTTTGGGTGCAGTGACCATTCTGGAGCATTTCCAGCTATTTCTGTCATTGTTTCTAATTTCCAGCGTCCGCAGTTTGATCGTTGTTGTGTTGTGGGAAAGAGAGTTGGGTTTGAGATGAGCTGAGTTCTGTAGTGCACGAATCAGAGAAGGTGAATATCCATGTGCCACAAGTACCTAATGAGGCTAAAAGAAAGCTGGCATTTAGCATGAGAGGAATGGAATACAATCATTAGCACGTCATTCCTGAGTGAGAAAGGCAGTGGTGAGAGGACCAGTGTAAGAATGTGTAACATGTAATGATAGGAAGGATGCAAATGGATTGGAAGCAGTTCAGAGAAGGTTTACTTAACAAATACCTGGAATGGGTGGGTTGTCTCATTGTTAATGTTGGACCAGTCAGGCTTGTATGCGATGGAGTTGAGAAGAATACAAGGTGAGTTGTGCAAAGTAACTGTGACATGTTATTGCCTGTGTGACTGAAATCCCGTGAGTTTGTGTCTGTGTGTGAAGAAGAGAAGATCTATGGGAGCCTGAAACAAACAGCATTCTGAGATGGAGTCATCTCATGCACATCATTCAACTGTATAACTGAACCATTGTCCTTTACAGATATTCTGGTTAGCTTGAATACAGCATTCAGATCAGTGTCTTACATTAAACATGCTTTTTAGGAAATGGTGAATGAAAAGACAAAGTTGCCTTGCATCTTTAACTGGCTGTGTGCTCACTCGACCTCAATTTTGAGATGTGATTTACTCGTCTTGTAAATGTTTGAGCCACCATGGAGTGTTAAACGTATGGACAGGTTAGAGCATGGAGGGAGAGTATTCAGCCTGTGTCTGTTTGTTTTGTTTCATGAGGGAATTGATGGACATGCCACAATGTCTGTTTAATTCTCTTGCTACACTCATATCCTCCCATTCATTTTGACATTGACAAATGTGTTTGGTCTCCACTCTGTACCTCTTCATTGTATTTTGTGTTACATTTTGTCTTGTCATTTGACAAACTGATTGATATTGTGAAACTTTTGAGGAAAAGAAACTTTGTGAGCCTAATGGTCTCTGAGGATGCTGCTTTGCTGACGACTCCCCTCCCAGCCCGGACATGAGGTCAAGCCGTACAGACAGGGAGGGAGGACAGAATAATCCGCAAGTGCAGAGCCGATTTCAGTGCCAGTTGAAAAAGCATCATCCCATCATTTAATGACCACAATCAAAAATATCTTACCAATGGGAGGAATGCAGAAAGGAAGCATGAGCATATGGTGTGGTTATATCGGAAGCGAAAACATTGATGATTTTCCTTCATTGTTCTTTTTTTCAGTTTAACCTATATTGAAGTTCTTGCCACTTGCTGTTGACTATAATGAGGAAAATGCCCCTTGATATATCCCAGTAGTTGGAGCATAGAATACAGCGTCTGACTTTTGTTCCGTGGGTCATGTCACTTGTTTTCTGACAAAATATGTGCAAAAATTGTGATTTTAGATCGTCATGTTTCGCTTATGCCTGGAAATCCATGTTTATATCGCATGTTAAACTCAACATTTTGAGAAATGTGGCCCTGGTGCTCTCAGGATAATGAAGCCAATTTGATTGGGGCAGTGAAGCAATATTAAGAACATGTGACTCACATTCAAATAAGCTTTGTAAAAGATCACCTTGTTGATATTTGTTGCTGTTTTGCAGTAATTCATCAATTCTGTTTGGCATCATTTTCAGCCTGTTTTGAAACAGTTCATGATGGTTTGGACTTTCCGGGAAATGACATCCATCAGTCTGTGGTCGAGAATGAAGAGAGTTGTCAAAGAAAATGTACAGAGGAACCTGACTGCCAGTTTTTCACCTTTATAAAAGAAGAATTTCACAATGAACCACAGCGGTTAGTCA